TGCCTATTTCTCGTTGTTCGCTTTGTGTTGCCGCAGTATTCGCCACAATATGTACATATGTACATATGTATGTAGATACATTAAGGCAAAATTAACCACTTGTTCTAAATATGACGCATATATGTATTAAAAAGAGTTTAGTTTGTGAAAATAGTTAAATTTAAATATGTGTATATGAACATATGTATGTATATATGCATGCGTACATGGAATAAAGAAATTTGAGCAAAAATTAGCGAAATGTTCATAAAAATTTTATATCTTTTTTAGGATATGGAATTTTGTGGCATAAGAAATTTTAGTACAATAAAATGCAAGTTTGAAGTAGCTAGGTTGATTTTTGGCAATTTCTTGTTCGAGAATTTTTTTGTATGGAGAAACTGAGCACCGCTTTCAACAAAAAGAATTGCCAAAATTCAACTGTATTCTTCGAACACTTCGCAAGTGTCAACAGTAATTTGCGAGCTCTGAAGAAATCATAAGCAAACACAAAATACCAATTGACTGTCGTTGCTGCCCGCTTGCAGAAGCTAGAAATTTCTCATTTTTCGACTGCGACTGCCGACAACTTGCAAAAGCAAAGATATTGCTTATTCATCGACTTGCGCCGCTGACCAAAATCAGAATGAAATCAAACTGAAAATTTTCAAACCAACGACTGCCAGCAGCTCTGCGCATTTTGTCGGCAATCAGTTTTTGCTTGAACTTCGACTGCGACTGTTAAACCAACGACTGCCAGCAGCTCTGCGCATTTTGTCGGCAATCAGTTTTTGCTTGAACTTCGACTGCGACTGTCGTCTTGTCTCATAAGCGTAAGCACAAGCAATAAGTAAATTTTGAACAGTTACAATAAGTCGAAGCAGTGAGAAGCGAAAATTTTATTACTTTTGCTACTTCGACTTAAGTTTTTTAAACACTGACCTTAAGAATGTGACTAAGTCGCTGCTGTTTTGCAATCTAAAAGAAGAAATTACATTCTAATTAAATAAAATTGTTAAATACGTATCCTTACCTTCAAAATTTTCGCAGCGACATTTCTTCACAGTATGTATACTGTCATCAAAACTCCGATGTTTCTAACTTGCTCGCTCTAACGCATAGAATTCTTATTAGAGTACGAATTCATATCGGGTATGTAGCTCTAACAAAGGGACATTTTTTTGACAGTTCGTACAAAAAATTTGTAAGTGTGTGGGTGAGATGACTAAAAAGTTGTGAATGTAGTTGTAAATCGTTTGATTTTCAGGGGAAAGTGGTGAGCCGTGACTGGCAGGGAAATTTGCGTGCGTGATTTTTCAGAGTTGCATTTCTGTCCAATTTCAGAAGTTGAGCAAAATTTGAGCATAAATGCAGAATAGCTTCGATTCTCAGTCTTAATAACTTTTAAAGTTGTTAGTTGTGCTTTTTTACAAATTATCCAGTAACTTGCCAGCAACTCTCCAGTAACTTAATTTCTAAGAATTCGCTCTCATAGAAAAAATTTACAAAAAAGTACGTGAACGCTTTTCCAGTAATAATTTGCAAGTTTCATGAACAGCTGTTTAATTGGTTGTTTACTCGCAGCATATCTATACTAATTATATACAGAGAAGTCCCTTTTTTTTGTAACAGGTAATCTCGCGAACGGCGAAATTTTGTATACAAATAGCTTTTCTTACTTTTTTCGGGTAGGTGGACCAGGGACCGGTCTATTCGAAAAAATCTTATTATAGTCCGATTTTCTTAAAATTTAGTACGTAAGTAGCTTTTTATCATATATTAGCATATATGACCCATTTTTTCCGGGAAGTGGACCAGGGACCGATCTGTTCGAAGAAATCGTATTTATGATCTGATTTGATTTCACCTAAGCATGTCGTGTTTTAAAGCGGTGCTATCAATTGTATGTGTGCTCGTGCTGCTCTTTGAGAACTGTGAAGCTGTCGAAGCTTTTGACAAATCCCCAGAGGACCAAAAGGAAAAATCAACTAAGTTGCCGCCTTGTAAATCATGCACTGTGCTTGTGGAATCATTTAAGTTGGTAAGTGCGTGCCAGTAATAACATATTTGTGTCGTATTAATAAAAACCTTGCTTACAGGGTTTGGAAAAAACAAGTCGCGTCAAGCATGCCGGTGGTGATGCGGCTTGGGAAGGGGAAAAACTACGTTCTTATAAAACCAGTGAAGTGCGTTTGGTCGAGGTTCAAGAGCAGTTTCGTGATTGGAAACCGCTCACTATCCCTAATTTAATTTTACGTATTTTTCTTCATCATAGGAAAATGTAAGGGTTCTGGCACTCGTAAAGGTAATGGAAAATGCGCCTGTGATGCTGGATTTACAGGTGAGAATTGTAATAAGTGTGCTGATAACCACTATGAAGCCTACAATGATGGCAAAAAGATGCTTTGTTCTCCATGTCACAAATCTTGCGATGACAAGGGATGCACTGGCGCTGGACCAAAAGGTTAGTCCAAGTATTTTTGCATTTGTTTAATGCATCCTGAACATTACCAAAGCTTCCTACATTGAAGTGAGTTTTGTGGTTGTTGTGACAGCATAGCAGTTTTCACAACATCCGGTTCTACGCGTCCGGAACGACGCCAATTTATGTATATCTACCCAAGGGTTGTCGCTCCAGCAACATTCCCCAAAATTGTTTAAATAATTTTTGTGCTGTTACAACAACTGAGTGAAGGTTATGTTCATTGCTGTAACTGAAATAAAGTAAACTGATGGTTTGCATTCATGCCGTGATTAAAAATATGCCTTTTTTCCTTTCTTCGTTCATCCTCCAGCTTGTCGTAACTGCAAAGATGGCTGGATTATGGGAAATGACCCAGTAGGGTGCCAGGATATAAATGAATGTTTACTTCAAAACCGCCCTTGCCGTCCAAATCAATTTTGCGTTAACGACGAGGGATCATATACGTGCTTAGAATGTGATCGTTCTTGTGAGGGTTGCGATGGTGATGGACCCGATATGTGTAGAAAGTGTGCAGCGGGTTTTGCATTAAAAGATGGAAAATGCCAAGGTGAGATAAAAAATAATTCCAATGTGTAAAGAAAAGGGTACTACTTTGAATTTTCCTCTATATACACAAGTATTGAATTCGGCATTTTAATTAATTCATTAACTATAGCAGAAATTCATACTACCTTATTTTACCACTGATGCCTTTGTGTATTCTTTTGTATTTCTTTTTCTGTGTATGTACATACTCACTGGCTCACTGCGTTATAAAATCAATATTTTAAATATCTCGTCTTAAAAAACTTCAAAACCATAGACGAATCTTCAGAGCAACGCGACCAGTTCGTAAACATAACACGTTTGCTTACCTACTTTGGCCTTTGCATTGCCACTTGTGTGATTTTCCAAAGTTCAACACACATCGCTTACATTGTCGGCGCAGCAGTAGCCATTTATATAGCAGCATCCGAATATTGGCTAAATTCGTCAGCATCGTCAGGAGCAGCTAAACCACAATTTGATACAAAGCAATTAGAAGATTTAATTATGAAATCACTTTAATAATTCAAATGAATAAAAAAGTAAAACGAATACAATATAACTAAACATGTAATATAAGTGAAAAGTGCATGAATATATTAACTAGGAAAATTCCAATTTATTCTGTGAATAAAAAATCTTTTGGAACTGTAAACTAACATCATAACAAAAGTCCTTAGGTGATGTTAAAGGAAAAATTTTAGTGTACCGTTACCGCGCTGGGGCGTATGTATGTATCAGGGATGTTGCGAATATTTGCATTCGCATTCGTTATGCGAATGATTCGCATCATTTTACATATTCGTATTCGACATTCGCATTCGAATAAAATCATACGAATGTTTTGCGAATGCGAATGTGTACATGGGCAGAGAGTCAACTCTAATATTGTTGAAATTACTCTAAGTCTGTCTAACGGTTAAGTAGTATATATATCAAGCAACTTTGATGGGCCTTCAACAAATACTGCTAAAAGTCTTATACGCAACCTAGAAATAATTTTAGATTCCTCCAGCGAAAGCGAAGAAAAACGAGCCCATCTCGGTGAAAATCCATTCGATTGGTGGAAAACTAAACTAAAATACGACAAATTGACAGAGCTGGCCCGCAAATATTTGTGCGTTCCAACCGCCAGCGTTCCAAGTGAGCAATTGTTCAGTGCAGCCGGCCTTATATTCGAGCCTCTAAGAAATCGCCTCATGGGAGAAAAGGCAGCAAAATTACTTTTTTTGAAACATAATATTAATATTCCCCTTTTGAACTTTGACTACTAGATTAATTGGTCGATTACGGATTGCAACCGAACTTCAGTTGGGTGGCCAGTGGCTGAAATGGTATTACAGATGGCAACTGGCAATTGAAAGCTGACAACTGAGTTGCTTTATTAGCAACTGCATTTTTGTGGTTGCCGCGGAAATTTTGATTGAGATAATTCATTTATTTTTTCAACTGTTTCTTCAGCTTATTTACACTCAAGTCTTAGCTGCTAGTTCTTAAAAATTTTATTACCTTCAACTTTATAGAACTTAACTATAGTTGCTATTCATAATATACATTTTCCTTTCAGTGGCATTGCCCATCGGGAATACAACTGCGGTTGCGTTGCCATACATAATCGACCCATAAAACAGCACTCGTTCAATGTCCTAATAATTAAAAAAATTTTTAAGTAATAAAAACGATGACTTAAGTCGATTATAGCTTTTTTAATGTTATACCTAACATTCGCATTCGCATTCGAACATTCGCATTCGCGAATATGAAAAATATGACATTCGAAACATCCCTAGTATGTATGTACATATCTGCATACATACATATGTACATGTATATACATAAATACCCAAAGTAAAGTTTAAAAAGCTATTGAAAAATAGATTTAAATGCTCTTTCAAATATTCAAATACAAGATAAAAGAGCCCTTTTCTTCCCTATAAAAAATCGAATGTGTCACTTAGGGCCAGTTTTTCAGTGCACGGCCGTGGTTTAAACTAAGTTGAAACGCCTGATCTGGCTGGTTTAAACTAAGATCAGCCAATCAAATTCAGCCAACTGGTCAATTTAAACTCAGTTTAATTAATCTAAGTTTAAACTGGCATTGGAAAACTGGCCCTTAAGGCCTTTTGCAATGATGTCTACACATACAAACGATGCATAACTACTTTATATGTATTAACAAATAGCACATACTTAGAGCACGATAGTAGTTATTTATTTGCAGCTTTATTTAGAGGCTCTAATGCATAACATTTTGTAATATAAGCCCGTTTCTGCGCTAACCACGTAACTAAATTATTGAAAAATAAATAACAATTTTTTTAATAATAAGAGTTTAAACGTTATTCTGTTTAAAACTAAAATTGTAATCTAAGTTTGGTTCTCTTTAGTAATAGTAAAGTCAAAAGCATAAATTACGGTACTTCTTTGTTGTGTTTCAGTAAAAGAAATTAAATACTTTTGCCCTGATATCTTCAAAATTACTATTCTACGACATAAGTTAACGCAGAAACGGAACGAATTTACAGCATTTTTGTTCTTATTTGTTTTTGATTTTCGATACAATTTTTATTTTTGCTATTTTCCAAATGTTTTGGTTTTTCAGGCGAGGATGCAGAGGTTGGAGAAGACAGCGAAAATGCGAGCACAAAAACTGAACTGTAACATTAGTTGAAATATAGCACTGTTTTTTTACAACTAAAAAACGTGTATTTTATCGCAAATATTATACCAA